AAAATGGGGTTAAGCAAAATATTTGACAAGAAGTAATTTTTTAAAAAAATCACAAGTCAGGGCATGTTTCTCTTTTGACTATTGCATTCTCAGTAGGCTAGCCCTTTGGTGGGATTTTCATAATTATCCAGGGACAAACCAGCTCTCAATAATGGATTTACTTCCTACCATAAATGTTTTGTTTAATATTAAAGCATTTCTGCTTCATTGGTGCTTTCCCCTGTAAAGCAGTCAAATGAAAGGCTAATTTACCTGAAACTCCCAATCGCTCATTAAAGGAAGTTCTAAGTTAAAAAAAAAAAAAAAAGAGTTAATGAGTTTTCAGGGCCAGTCATATCAGTATTACTAGGAAGCTAACAATAACCAGATAAGATCACCAATAATGGCTTCTAGAGAACCACCAATGCAGCCACCCTGGAGAATACTGGTTTCAGGCTTTTCCTGGGAAGTGGGTGGAATGTGCACTCAGGTAACAGTCAGCCAGCAGCTAGCTGACGAGTGTCATACAGGACCCACAAATGTGGAAGTTAGAGAGAATGCCTCTAAGAATGTAATAACCTTCAGTTAGCTTCAATTTTCTGCCTCAAAATGTGGTAAAATATAGGCAAGTTGAAAGGTCTCAGGTTATAGGAATCTAAAAGACAGCTAGAAACAATGACAGAATCTTCCAAAGCTATGGAGAAAGATCAAATGATGAATACACGGCCTGGAAGGTATCGTTGCATGTTCATCAGACTTTCAGGAAGACTAGAGCGGTGGTGGAAAAACACAGTGGATTGGGAAACAAAACACCTAGGTTTTGTTTTGCTTTGTTTTTTTCCCAAGGTCTGTCCCTAAGGGACTCTGAGACACTGGGCAAAGTAAACGAGTTTTCTTTTAAAGGAAATGGTTGAGATAAATGATTTCTAAGGTCAGTTTGGAGTGTAATGTTATACTGTGAACTATACTCTGGTTTTATAAAATGTATTAGCATTTCAATGTCACCTAACTATTAATGGGCATGTGTGGATCTCTGTCTTCATATGTCTGCACAAAGAATCGTTAGGAGGATGAACCAAATAGAAATGAATTCACAGCAAAATCAATTACTATTTGACATTATTTTAAAATTTAACTCCCCTATTACTACTATAACCTTCTTAATTTACTTTTGACTTATTTTACTTCTATTATTTGTAAAGTTTTATTATTCTTTAGAAATTATACATGTTATTTATCTCCATATAAATAAAATCATATAATACTCAGCTAAGGGGATGTAAATCAAAATATTGTGTCCTCATTCTGGAAATACAATCCAGAAAAAGAATAAACTTAGATTGCATTGAGTTTGATTAGGCTGGTAGTTGCCTAAGGCCCTGACTTGGTGTAAAAGAAAGCCATGATTCGGAATATTTATTTACTTGGCATAAATTCCCAAAGTATCAAAATACTCATTGTCAAATGTTAATAAAATTTACAAAATGAAAGAAAAAGAAATGGTTTGTGGCCATAATTAATTTTGAATTATCTTGCTAGGCATCAGCTTGGAGCAATGGATTCAAATTTAAAAAAAAGAAAAGAATTTGATTTATGAGATAAAAAATACATAGAATAAAAAAGCTCTTTAATTCATGCTACTTATTCTCTCTATCTGAAAGGTGTGAATCACTACTTGAATTGAAAGCTCCTGTTTGCATCTAAGAAATGATAATATATTTCTAACAATGAAATATTGAGATGAAACAATGAGATGATTTAGCAAGAGTTGACAGTCAAATTCTTGAAATGGTTCTCTAATATTTTTATTGGCAGCTTAGATATAGCTCTTAAAACATTAGAGCAGGGCCTTGTATTTTATTAAAAGCTTTATGAAATCTTTTCTTTTTCTTTCTTTTTCTTTTTCTTTCTTTCTCTCTCTCTCTCTTTCTTTCTTTCTTTCTTTCTTTCTTTCTTTCTTCTCTTTCTTTTTTTCTTTCTTTCTTCTTTCTTCCTCTCTCTCTCTTTCTCTTTCTTTTTTTCTTTTATTTGCTAGCGGGCACATGAACTTGCCAGAGGGGAGAGAGAGAGAAAGTGAGAAGGCAACCTATGGCAGATGTCCACACCCCGATCCCTTCTCCACTGTTCACCATCCTTTGTGGATTTGGGGCATGCATACACATGCACCCAGCATATTTCTCAAGCCTCTGGGTCCGGAACTCAAACTGTGTAATAGGTCATGTGAGATTCAGCTGTTTTAACACCACACCATTGGATGGCCCTTGTGGCATCAGAAAATTTAGTGTTCCCTCTGCTAATTAAAATATGAAAGACGCATTTCTTTGATTAGTGGACTTTCACAAAAAAATATTTTATATTCATTCACTGTATTTTATTTCAGCTTACAAAATAGATTTTTCCATCCCGAATACACTGAATATTGACCCAGTCAAAGATAGCACCATACCTATTGTCGTCAGCAGATAACTTTCCATTTTGTGTTTCTTAACTGTTTGTTTCTTTTTGCCCAGAAATTTTGTAAACCAAGATACTCTTATGAGAGGTAGTGTATTAAGAAGATATAATTATGGCCAGGTGGTGGTGAGTGGCGATACACTAAATCTACATGGGGAAAGTCCTGGGTACTTGTCCTGGGATCTTCCTGAGCACTCCAGGGCATGAGCCTATGATCTGGACCATCTGAGACTAGGGGGATAAAGGGGATGAAGTACTAAAGACTGTGTTGGGGCACCTTTTCTCTTTCTCTCAGTTTCTCCACTTTTACATGGAAGAAATAAATAACTTTTAAAAATATTAGTAGAAATTAATATCTTTTCAGAGACCTATTAAGAATTTTTTTTACAAATTTATAATTTTATAATAAGATGAAACAAAGGACAAGAAAGCTAGAGTCTGGCTTCTCTGTGACCTTTTCCTGCTTACCACAAGGAAAATGCAAATTATTTCTCAATGTTCTTATTGCATCTTGCATTTGACTATACTATACTATACTATACTTCAACATGTATTATAGTAATAGAATCTCACTTCTGCATCTCCCACATGAAAGTTGATGCCTTCAAGGATGGGCACCATGCCTTTGTACCTTTTTCTGCTCCCCAGTTTCTAGCTCAGTTACTGCCATGATGAACATGTTGCAATAATTGCTTAATGGATTTAAGTCATTGCATTTATTCTGCAGCCATTTTAAAAGTAATTTGAATGTAATATCTTTTAATCGACAAACATGTGTAATAGAATAATTGCAGAAGAAGACTCCAACATACTTTTGGCTTCTAAAATCAGATATATTCCCAAACTGTAGTCTCCCAGATTCTCAGATAGTAGTTTATGGAGAGGAATATAACTGCCTCTCCTAAGCACCTTCCTGTCTGCAATACTTACTTGCCAGTCAATTTCTCTTTAGAATTAGAATTGTTACTGAGATGAGAGGAAAATCAATGGTAATCTCGGTAGAAGAAAGCTCCATTGGGTGCCAATAACAATGTCTGGAGGGTGATGAAGTTAAAAGACTGAGAAGAATCATGTAGGGCATAACTAACAGTCAGAAACTAAATATAATTAAAAGCAAATCAAAAATTAAAGTCTTTGAGTAAATATCCAATATTACTTGATGATTCTAACACAAAGACATGAAAAATGCTTCCAAAGCGATTTCTCTGAGAAAGTCATAGTGACTAGTGAATGTTCGTGTGTGACCCAAAACGTCACTATAAGAACTTCGAAAATCAGGAAACAAAGTAAGAAAGGAATGGAGAATGACTCTTCTCATATCAATAGTTTGGCTGGAACACAGGGCTAAGTTCATGTATTTTCTGTGGGAGTTGCTTGAACTCTTGATTCCCTACATAAAATATTTTCAAAGAAAATACAGTCTTCCAGAATGCTAGGAACAGAGCTCTGAGCATCCTAATAGTGTCACAACTTAATTAAATGATTAATGCTACTTGGCATCTAATATGTGAGCAACATGATGAGCATTACGTTTACTCTGGAGGGCTGTCATGTGGTGTAGTGGTTAAGGGTGTTGGACTCCCACATGGCTGACTGCAGTTCAAGTCCCAGACCTTGCTTGCTTATTCACTTTCTCTCTCTCTCTCACTCTCTCTCTCTTGTTTACTCACTTTCTCTCTCTCTCATCTTTCTCACTCTCTCTCTCTGTCCCTCTCTGGTCAAATTAAAACAAATAAATAAATAAATAAAGTTAAATAAAACAATTCTTTTTTAAGAAATAAAATAAATAAAAATAAACTTACTCTGAAGTCACAGCTGACCATTTACATGTCGTATTTAATGTCAATTCAATCCTTTCACTGAGAATTTTTATCAAGCATAATATGTTTTGTTCAAGAACCTATGTTTGCCACTAGGACTATGCATTATATAAAACAAATGTCTTTCCCTTGTGGAGCTTACAGTCCAGAGGAAGAAAGACCATGAGTTACTCATGCCTCTAATACCTGCTGTTACAATTCTGAAAAAAAGCTAAAAAACAAGATACTGAGAGAGAATGCCAGTTTCCCAAGCCTTGATGAGCAGAACTGGTAAGGCCTGTATGAAGAGTGTGGTTCCTGTTAACACAACAGCATTTACCTCTTTTTTTTTTTGCTATAGGAGACGTGCACTCGCCAGAAAGACAGAAAACAAGAAATCGCCCCCCCCCCAGGGGGGATGGCCATGCCACAATCCCCTCTCCTCCATTCTCCTCTCAGGATCTTGATCATACATGCACACACGTCCAGCATGAGTTTAAGCCACTGGGTCCAGGACTTGAACCGCAGTCAACTACATGGGAGTCCAGCAACGTAGTCATTACACCATCTACTGGTTCCCAGTGTCTACCTTTGATATAGGAAATAGGCTTGTAAAAAAAATCCTACTTAGTGCCCTCTGCATGGTCTATGCACAATAAACATTTAGGACGTAACAAAAAAGCTCCAGATCTGAAAATATTTAATAAAAATACAAATATACTCAAATACACAATTTTAGAAAGTAATGTCAACATGCTGTGTTCTTACCCCTATTGTTCCAAAACTTTCTGGCTTTCTTCTCATCTTTTTCTTGCACAAATGTGTCCATATCCATTTGATTAGGTACCATAGTGACTTGGGGCTTGGGATGACATTGAAGGGAGTAGGCAGAGTACCTCCTTCTTCAAAATAACTCATCCAAAGCTTTGTTCGAGCAAATTTCCATTCTATATCTGCATGATCCTGAACAGGAGAACATGACAACTGCTGACAGGCTTCTTAATTAATAAGATGAAATAAACCTCACAGAGACTCTGAAACCTGACTCTTGAGAGGCTCTTGGAACATTAATTAAATTGCTTAAAACAACGCTGCTAGCTCTGGAGATAGTAATCTAAACATTTCAGATGATGACTTACCTTGGTCAGAAGTCATTCTCTCATGTCACTTTTCATCCTTCCTTCTTCAGTGAAATAGACATCTAAAATAATTCCATGTTAAAGAGACTGAAGTGGTGAGTTATGACATGAAGATGAATCTGTGTCTCCTGTACCTTGGGCTCACATTAGCTCAGTGTCACTAGATTATGGCCAGAAACAGAGCTTTATGTCTTCCCTAAGGCCCTGTCCCCCGGCTTAGGTGACTGCCGCCTTCAGAGATGCTCATGGCTTAATCTTCAGTGTTGCCAAAGTCTTATTGGATGTGTTTCCATGTGGATAATTCTTGTCCACCTTCAGGCAATAAATGTAAGCTCAGAGAGAAGTTCTTCTGACAAATATAGAATAGGTCTTCTCTGTCACAGAACTGACATAACCTTGGCTAGGGGTATGGCTAGTGGATGCGTACAAGCTAGAGGCTATGTCCTTCAACATTTATTTCTCACTCTATTAACCTTCTTAGAAACCTTGAAACATTTGTGACACTTAGATACAGGGCAGCCAGACTCTTCTTAAAGTAGCCATAAATATGACTTAAGCTGAAAATCTGGAAAGCAGGCAGTGGTAGAAACTGGGCATACATGCATTTTACAATCCAAAACAGCTGATTGTGAACAATTGCTATTATAAAAGAGAAGTCAAATTTTAGAGTAGAATAATCTTAGACGATGCTCACTGCTAATGTTCCTAACTTACAAAGTGCTGATGGATGCTCACGCTATATAACATTTCCACGCTGCACAGAATAAGTTTTAGTCTAGACACTGGGCAGATGATGCTTTGAACAAGAACTGCTTTACCTAAAAATGCTTGCCTTCTCTGAGAAAATGTATGATTAAAAGGCTCAGTTGGTTAGGTGGAAAGACAGTTTCCTTTTCTTTTTCTCTCTCCTGTCTTCTTTCTGTATTTCTCCCTCTCCCTTCTTTCTGCTCCCTTTCTTTCTAACCAAGTTTATAGATTCTGGCTGATCATGTATTAGTGAAGAGACTTCCTTTGTTCATCATTCAGGATTCTGAGAAGGTTCTATATTACAGTCCATGGTGTTTAGAAAATCTGGAGATGGCAAGTTCTAAACTCTCGATGACTAAACCCACCTACCAATTTCTAATCAACAGTTAAAACTTAGCTTGAGTATCAATCATCTCTTCTAGGAAGCCAGCACTGACTCCAACCCAGCCTTAACCTTTTTCTCTCTCTACCCCAAGTCGAGGTACTCTTCTTTTGCTCTCTCCTAACAATCTCAGGTTTGTTTTTTGCAATATTGAAATTATTTCTTGATTTTTTTTTGTCTCTAATCCTTTACTTTGTCTCTTGAAAGCAAATTTTATGTATGTGTATATATATATATATATATATCTGTAAAATCAATAGGGCGTCTGGTGTATAGTAAATACTTGATCAATGAACAAATGAATGAGTGGAAAGCAGACTCTATGATGGCCTGCACGACTGTTTCTGCTTTTCATCAGTTACACCTTCCTCTTTTTCACACTTTACCTAGTGACCCTGAGTTAGGGATAGCAGGGCAACGGAGAAGGCTATTCCACTATTGCGGGACAGATGAAAGTCAAATGGGTGGTATGTTCATGCCCTATGGAGGCTTCCTGCCCAGAAGGCTTAGAGGTACACCTGTCTCAGGTCATCAATACCTCCTCTTCTCTCAATAATTTTAGAGTTTGGGCTAAATAAAAATAGAGATTCTCAGCTCTGTAATGCCATTCCCTAGAAAAACACACTCCACAAAGAAGCAGTAAGAAAATATAATACTAGTCTCAAATAATGTTCTCTTCTTGATGAAATTGGAGCATTTAATGTTTTGCTGGATCTAAATTGTTGGCAGCTTCTCTATATCTAGCTTGATAATTAGAGGCTTTCTAATTTGTTGTTGTTTTGGAAAATAGAATCCACATTTTGAAAATGTGCCTATTAGGGGAATACAAAGCTTCAGAAACAAATATAGAGAGACTATAAAAATTCGAATTGTAAGATGCTTAAACAAGGTACCATGCATTCACAAGTTGAAATATTCCCCTCCATATTCTAGGACTTAGGTATAGCTAGATAAATTATTATGTTTTGGAAATAGTTTTTCTCTGTGAATCAGTAAATAAACATAATCTATTATCATGTTTATATAGTTTTCAACAGATAGCTGTCTCACAACAAAAATTTGTCCCCGTAAAGACAGTCTAAGTAAAATTCAGAGTGCTGCTTGACAAAAGTAAGAGTAATAGAACTTGAGAGGTTTAACTATGACTTCAGATACAATATAATCATAGTTATTTATAGAGAAAATGGCAACCTATAATTATGTTTATAAAATGCTCCTTATCTAACATATAACTATAAAAGACTTCAGAAATATATATCATTCTAGTTTGAATTGCTTCATTGCCATAGCTATTGGCCATAGGTATGATTAATATGTATATGTGTTCAAGTGGATAAAGGGCTTTATCTTTCTTGTTCATTGTATTTCTAATTTTTAGAATAGTGTCTGGCAAAAAAGTCTGTACTCACTATTTGTTGAATGAATGAAAAAATAAGCTAAATTGTTTAGGGTCCAAAGTTTCAAATAAACACAAATTATCATATAGATTCTCCTATAAAATTCTAAAGTAATTCTATATTGCTTACGTTTTTAAAAACTGATAATCTTGTAGTTTTTCCCTTGACAGATTGGCCTCTGGAATATCTTTTGAATCTTGCCAATAGACATAAATTTGCTTATATTGGGAAGGCAGGTTAAATTAAAGGACCATGAAGAACCTACTAAGCACTGCTTTGAGTTGAGTCGCCCGTCTTTAAAAGTCATACCTCACTTACTGCTTGCCATAGCCTTTGAGTGCCTGGCAAGACATATTTAGTTAATTTTTTTTATATCAAATGTTATATGACAAAACTAGATTAATTCTTGCCATATGGTATAACATTGCTCCAATTTTTTTTTTGAGAGGTTTTTGCTATAGGGCATGTGTTACTTGCCAGAAAGACAGAGAGAGACAGACAGAAAGCGAGAAATCACCCCCTGATTGTGGACACGCCACATCCCTTCTCCTCCATTCTCCTCTTGGGATCTTGGACACACATGCACATGCACCCGGTGTGAGTTTTAAGCCTCTGGGTCCGGGACTTGAACTGCGGTCGACTACATGGGAGTCCAGCGACATAGCCATTATGCTAACTGCTGGTCCCACATTGCTCCAATTTTAAAGTAAACCATTTAGTTTATAATTCTGGTCTGTCTCATCAATAGCCAACTTTGGAATTGATTTCTTATGATACTCAGATGAAGTAAAACTAGAAACAACAACATGTTCTAGAGGAATAATGAATTAAAATAAAGTTAGTTAACTTACAGCAATAAGTTGGTAAGAATTGTTCATCATAGCTATCAGCATGTTGAGTAGGACAACCAGAGAGATGACATTGTATGTCCCAAACATGGTGGCACCAACAAACTCAGTGAATTCATGCTGTGCTTTGACATTGGTCACATACAAATTGATGAGCCCAAATATGGACCAAAACAGGGACTGGAGTGTCTCAAATAATCTGTAATAAAAATAAAATGACATTAATAGCTATGTTAACAGAACTGTTATACATTGAGATATAACAAGCAAACTTAGCACTATTATGTACATTTGACTAATTTAAAAACACATATCAATAGTAAAATTTTATTTCAAGACAATCACAGAATTAAACCTAATAAAATAATTAAAGAAAATCGTACTCATCAGCCTGGCACAATGGTATAGTTAGTATTCCCAAGGGTTTGGAAAGTTACATTTAGTTTTCTAAGGCAAGGGGTACCAAATGTGGCACCAAGCCTGTTTGGGCATGGCCACTGAGTAAGGAATATTTTTTTCTTTCCCAAATGGTTGTAAAAAAAGGAATCAAAAGTAGAGTGATATCTTATGATGATGTGAAAATTACATAAAATTCACATTTCAATATCCATAAGTAAAACTTTATTGAAACACAGCCACACTAATTCAAGTATTATCTATGGTTTCTTCGGTGCCACAACAGCAGAGATGAGTAGTTGCAACAGAGAACATGGCGCCCAAAGGTGAAAAGATCGCCTATACATGCCTTTCCACTGAAAATTTGTGGATCCCTGTCCCAGGGCATTGAGTGTTAGTTAATAAACAATAGATCCTAAAACTCAGGCTTTGATAAATGGCAATTCTTTTCCAAACTTTGCTTTTGGTCATATGAACATTATACTTTTACAATACTTCTATTATATATAAACTTGTAATTAAAATTTCACATAGTACATCCTATGAAATGGCCTCTAAATGCTTAGATAATAAAACTTGATATATATATATATTTTTTTTAATTTCAGAAACATTTTATTCATTCATGCCAGTGAGAGAAGTCTGATGATTTTATTGAAAACAAAAGAAAACAAAACACAAACAAACAAAACCACAAAACTTCCTTCACTTGCTTAAAACAATGGGATAAAGCGAGGCACCTCTGAACACAGAGAATTGTTTCAATGGAATCATTATAATACATTAATATAATGTAATATAATATAATGCAATGTAAAAGACAAAGCTTTTACATTCCTTACTAAATGATAAAATAAGACTATACTTAAATTATAGTGTAGAAAACAAAAGCTTTCTTAAGTCTGATGTGGTGACTAAGAAGGTAGGATTTCAGTCTTTAAAGAGATTAGCACTAGATTGGAATGACGTTGTAGGACCAATTAGTCATGGTTTTTGGTAGCCCTCAGCCCCAGGGACACTTATGCATACCCTTCAGTGGAGCAGTGCCCCTTATGTAAGTCTCTGGGGCTCATCACCCAGATCCTCAATAGACTTGGTCAGTCACACTCAAGTGACCCAAGGAGAGACAGTTCATATGAGGGCCAGATTTCCTTTTTATGAAAGTTTACCTTAGAAATATCAAGATAATGACGGGACCAGCAGTTAGCGTAATGGCTATGTTGCTGGACTCCCACGTAGTTGACCGTGGTTCGAGTCCCGGACCCAGTGGCTTAAAACTCACGCCGGGTGCATGTGCGTGCGTGCCCAAGATCCCGAGAGGAGAATGGAGGAGAAGGGATTGTGGTGTGGCCATCCTCCCTCGTAGGTGATTTCTCGCTTTCCGTCTCTCTGTCTCTGTCTGTCTGGTGAGCGCATGTGCCCTATAGCAAAAAACCTCTTAAAAAAAAAAAAAAAAGAAATATCAAGATAATGAGGTAGCTGCCAAAAGGTGCAGAGATGATAGGGATTATGACATGCTAATCCCTGTAATTATGGGATATCAAAATTGTGAGATAGCATAAACCAAGAAGCAGAAAAATGGGGATGAAGAAAAGAAGTAGTAAGCAAATGCTGAGGAGAATATGCATGGAGCAGCTAATCACACTGATGCTGACATACAGAGTAAAAATTTCATGGCCCAGTACTATGTCAACTCCTTCACTTCCAGAAGCTAGGACTTGTCTCAGTTTTGTCCTTGTTAAAATCAGCCCTCTCTTTGAGGATCAAAAGGTTGTCATCCTGTGTACTGCCCTTATAACAAAATGCTTGTTAGCTAAATAAATCGTGAATTTCTGGTCCATATAACTAGGAGAAAACTAAATATGCCTTTATTGACATTCAGGATTTACTTTTCCCAAATGTGTTACTTTTAAAAAAGGTAAATTATTTCATATTTTAATTGCACAATTAATTCTAGAATACAAAATTTAACTGTTGGTTTATTTTTCCAGAGCTGTTAAATGATAGAATGAACAAATTTTTATAAAGTAATAAGGGCACTGATTTGAACAATAACTATCAGATTGTGATTCCACAACAGAACATTATGCACTGTGTAAGGAAGTGATGTAGTCTCTTTAAATTATTGTTTTTAAATTTAATTTTAAATTTTTTATAGAACAAAAATTATGAAATTTGTATTCCCCAACCAAAAACTTTACATTCTTTTCTCTGTTAAATGTTTCTTCCCTTGGACCCTCCTGCCTACCCCCTACTATCCACTCTACCCTCCACTCTTCTCTCGTTCAAAGTTGATGAATATAGTGTACTTAATGTTGAGTAAAGTGAGGCAGACTATGAAAGAGACACACTATATATCCCCACTTGATATGTACCAAATGTCTGTACTCTGACAAAAATGGAAAGAATCAAAGATATGATAGTAGAAAGGATGAATGTAGGTACCAGAGGTTATGAATGCTTAAGGGGCAACCAAGATATCTGATTCCAACAATATTAGAGAAAGTTAAATATTATTTAATGACACTGAAAAAAATTTCTCAGGAAAAAATAAATTTGTCTCAAAGCTATAAATTCTTTATTTTTAGTAAATTTAAGAACAATTTCTGAGAATGTCTTTTGGATTTAATGTTAAAAAATATTGTTCTTTTTTTCCAGATAGTATATGTATGCACTCTGAGTATGACATATAATTCGGCTAGTTTTCCCCTGGTGCAAACAGAAATATAAAGAAAGTTACAGTTAAATAGTAAAAATTATATAACCAGTAAACATAAAATTTTACTATGTAAATTTCCTAACAGTTTTTTATTAAATGTTCAAATAATAGCAATGATGGAGATAGGTTATTATGGCTGAATGGTACTTATTTTCTTCTGTCTAAATAAAAATTACTAATTTATTAGAAATATTAATAAAATCTTTTTTCCCTTGGTTTTTGCCATAGGGTGCAAGAGCTTAACAGAGAAAGATACTGAGAGGGACAGTGAGAAATCACCCCCCCCAAGAAGGGATGGCCACACTGCGCTTCCTTCTCCATTATCCTTTCAGGATTTGGGGCATGCATACACAGACACCCAATATGATTTCTAAGCCACTGGGTCCAGAACTTGAAACGTAGTTGGCCATGTGAGCCCAGCAACTTAATCACTATAAAAATACTTGGAAAAATATTTATTAAACATTTAAAATTAGAATTTAAAACAGAGGAAATTTAAAATAAAATGATACTTGGTGATTAACCACAGATTTTATTCTTTCTTTTATTTTTCTTCTTTACATGAGAAAAATCAGTAATGAGATTTATAGAATAGTTTTACTTAACTAAAATAATTAAAATATATTTATTTGTCAGATGAATGATGACCCTGGTATGAAGGTATTTTAAATTAGTTATTCTTTTATTAGATGGATATTTGAAAAATCAATCTAGATTAACATTTCAAAGCTATATCTCCCAGAAATGTTTTGAGCATTAATTATACTCAAACCTATTGAGACCAACATTGCCCATAAATTTAAGGATCATTAGTTGCATCACATCTCAGAATGTCTTTAGAGGATTAATGTTTTCTTCATTCTGTGGTGAGATAAGTAAAAACATCCCAAGATAATGCCACAACTTAATAGACACTTTGAAAAAAAACCCAAGTTGAAGATTACATTCTAAGTTTGTATGGGTTGACCTTTTATTTTCATAAAGATAATAGCATTTTGTCTATTGGCCTTTGGAAATATTTCTCAACTGCCACTTTATGAAATTAGCTTGTTCTCTAATACACTAGAGAAACTGATCAGTAAAAAGGTAATGTATCCCACAGTTGTGGTTTTCTTCTATCCCATGAGACTGAAATGATGAGCAAACATAAATGAATACAAGAGTCATCTGAATATTGTATCTTTAATATATAAGCAAATGTAATAGTAGGATAAATAAAGATGAGCCATTAGAATGCCATTCCAACAAACATAAAAGAGCTTTGCTTGGGGCCAGCAGGTGGCGTGGTATTTAAGGAAATGGACACTCCCAAGTGGCCAACCATGGTTCGAGTCCCAGACTTAGTGGCTTGCCTTCTCCACTTTCCCTCTCTCTCTCTCTGTCTCTCTACAGTCAAATTAAAATAAATGAAATAAATAAAATTAAATAAATAATTCTTTTGAAAAAAATCTTTGCCTAATGAAATATTACCTGTTACGAAGCCTGTGCCCTTCTTTTCATACGTGAGCTTATATTACCTGTTACAACGCCTGTGCCCTTCTTTTCATACGTGAGCTTATTTCCTAGATTACCATTTCAGTAATGAAACATTTGGTATCTTTTAGTGACAGGTAGTTCCTTCTATGTTAATGAGAAACAACCTGGAAACCTGCAAAAACTGCAAAGAAGTGTCCCTTTGCTAGTGGGAAAATGAGCAGAGAAACATGGAAGACATGAATTCCAGTTTATTACTTCCAGAGCTCACAGTCAAGTGAGGATCCAAAAAGGAGGGGCTCTTAAATTAAGGCATCGTTAAGTGAGGAGGAACCAGGAAGCCGAGAAGAGTTGGGTACCAGAACTAGAGCTTTTCCCTAACTGAACAGGACCTGGGAAGTAACACAATTCTAGGAGCTGGTGAAAGGTGTTTTTAGAAGACAAAGCATGGAATCAAAAGGAAATGGAGGCAGACATAGAGAGGACGGTCTTGGCAAGCACTTTCCATCAGTATATGCAGTACAAAGCAACCAGGGAGTTGTGAACATGGAGTGTGCAAAGGGGCTTTCCATCAGAAATGCAGGCCAGTCAGCAGACAGATGATAACCAGGAGGTTGTTAGAGGCAAAATTCTCGTTCATGAAGGGACAGGTTGGTGGAATCTGCCTATGGTAAATCCCTTGTCTTAGCTGCCCTAGGTAAGCTAGCAAATTAGAAACCACAAATCAGGGGTAAAAGTTCAGATTTCAAAACTGAACCACCAAAGACCACACTAGTTGCAAGAACGACCTATAAGAGGTTTCTTTGAATTCCTGTTGCCCAGAATCAGAAAAGAGCAAGAGAAAGATGACAAGGCTAGGTCAGCTGTATGGAAGAGCTGCTGCTTACAAACAGAAGAATAAGGACCAGCACATGGTGCCTGGGTTGGTTATATTGCTGGGCTCCCACAAGGCCGAGAGCAGTTCAAGTCCCAGACCTGATGGCTTCCAATTCCCGCCAGGCGCATGTGCATGCGTGCCCAATATCCCAGGAAGAGAATGGAGGAGAAGGGATTGTGGCATAGCCATCCCCTAAAGGGTGATTTCTCACTGTCCCTCTTACTGTTCCTGTCTGTCTCTCTTTCTGACAAGCACATACACCCTAAGGCACACACCTTAAAAACAAACAAAACCAATAGAATAAAGAAGCTGATAATAGGGGATTAAATGACAAAGGGAAACTGAGATGACTTGAGTTTTCTTTATGATCCATGGTTAGTATCAAATATTATTTCTGAAAGGAGTTGAGGTTGCCAAGACTGAGATGAAAATTTTATGTGCAAATAAGCATATAATGATTAAATAAAATGGAGCTTCAAATATTGGAATCAAAGATAAAACAGATGTGGAATTATACCAACAAGAACATTTAGCTGTAAGTGATTTAGTTTATGTGAAACTTTGGATTTCCTTCCACTTGAGCAATTGCTGTCCTCTCTTGTATCACATATAATTCCAAGATGACCCATGAATAAGGTCTGACTCTTAGAATCACCTCTGAAATTATGCTATATTCATGTGAGGTTACTGTAGCGGAAAATCACCTAGCCTTTTGGTTCATCTGCTAATCAACAGTCCGTCACAGTGGAAAAGAAATGAGGTCCATAGGCAGTATTCTGTGTGAGCTGCACAACCATTGCATGCAGTGCTCATGAGCTTGTGCTGCTGGCAATCCTGTTCATGAGAATCATTAGCAGTGGCCAGCAGAGGTTGCTTATTGCTCATCGCATATAAGCACACAGAGACCTTTGCAAGCATAATAGTAATGGCTAGCTTGAGCCTGAATTTCCACTGTGGATAATTTTCAGACACTTAGATTTTTGTCTAGGGAACTAGACAATAAAATAGACATATGAAAGACTTCAGTGCCTTGATGGCTGGCAGGTGGCGTGGTGGTTAAGAGCACTGGACTCCCACAGACTGACCGTAGTTCGATTCCTGGATCTGGCAGCTTGCTTTCTCACTTTCCCTCTATTTCTCTCTCTTTCTCTTGCTCTGTCCCTCTCTGGTCAAATTAAAATATAATTAAATAAATAAATAAAGTGAAATAAGAATTATTTAAAAAAAAAAGATTTGTGTCTATTCAAAGCAGGTACTCAGCGCCTGGAAACCTAAGGAAACATTAAAATAGCCTTTGGATTTTTGAACATGATTGGTTTTACATATATCCTATCTTTTTCTTTTTTCTTTTTTCTTTTTCTTTTTAGGTTTTTTACCATAGAATGCATGCACTTGCCAGAGAGGGGGAGAGAAAGAAGGCAGTGAAAGGGTATGTAAGAAATCATCCACCAGAGGAATGGCCACATTGCCATTCTTTCTCCGTTCTCCTGGGATTTTGGCGATACATGCACATGTGCCCCATTTTCAAGTTTGAGACTGGGACTCGAACCACAGTTGGCCATCTGTGAGTCCAGTGCCTTAACTACCATGCCACCTGTTGTTCCCCGTAGACTCTATCTTTTAATCACTTGTAAGCTGCCAGTAGTACAAAAGTTTTCTATTTTATTCCAAATTTATAACAATGTCTATACCTTTCCTTTAAGGGATCATTTAAAAGAAAAAATTATTTTACCAAAACTTAAATAAATGTACCAGGTTTTCTTTTTTTTTTTCCCCCAAATGTTGGTAAGATTCATGTCTATTCAAAGTCATGTTTTCAGCATTAACTTAACTCCCCATTTCCTTTGCATCCTTTTGCCATGAATTTTTTAAATTCACAAAGTGGTATACTCTAAATTCTGCTCAATATTACCAGTAGAAACGGTGTGTCAACTTACGTTGAAAATGCATTATTCTGCTTTTCGCATCGTATGCCTTTGCAGCTTAACCCTTTTGTTTCTTCGTAATAGAAGTATAATTGGTTTAGGCCATTGGCAAATGCTAGCAACACAAGGCAGTATATAAACAGAAACTTTAAAATGTCCAGGAGCATTCTTCCCAGAGATATTTGTAGAGGTCCCAGGTGGGAATTGGCAGTAAACAGTGAGATCAGACGCAGGGAACTGAAGATGTTTGCAATAGCAAATAAAGCCTCAGCCACCAGGGTGGGGTGCCACATGTCCCAAGATTCTCGTGGATTAAGAGCACTGTACTAGAAAAAAAAAGAAAAAGAAAAAGAAAAGAAACAAAGGGAAAGTAAAACAAACACATGTGTATGAATATGTTAAACTCAAACCCAGGATACTTTTTCAGGTAGATCCAGTTCAACCGCTTATTGTCAGGAAGCTGACGTCCTCCATGATGGTGATGGTAGCGGCCATGTGCATGCTCTATGCAAAAATAAAGGATTATTCATTTTAAGTGTAGAAGCTTTCATCAAAGTGACCTTCCAGGTCTGAGGTCTGTCCTCGTTTATATTTTTTTGGTAATTATATCTGTCCTTTAATTTTCAAAATAAATAAATAAATAAATAAGAATGAAAAACAAAGAAAAGCGTTGTGAGTATGTCTGGGGGGAGGATCTAATGTTATGCCGAGAACAGAGAGAAGCAAGTTATAAACAAAACTTAGTAAATTTCAAACAAAATAACCAACGATCTTACTTACAATATTTGACACTCTTGTCAATTTTAGAGGAATACATTTAGGATACAAATTATAAATGAGTGAGTGAAAGTTCTTGGCTCTTGCTATGGGAATAGTAATTACTAATATGCATAACAATTAGTGTTTTGTATTTGTATATCCTCAATGTAAATACTACCTAACCTAGACATCGTTCTGTTGGTAACTAAATTATTAACTTTTTAATTTTTAACGTGTAGAAATGTCATATTTACCTGAATATTACCAATAAAATATGTGAGTTGAGAAAAATATTTGCTACTTTAAACTTTAACCAGCAATTATTTAAAAATTAAGACAATTAATTAACATGTCAGCTTTGAATTATCTTGATATTCAGCTACATGAAGAGTACAATGATATTTACCCCTTTCACTATTGAGATAAACTTGTATCCTTTTTAAAAAATAACCAAATATGCTCTTTGAAATATTGTAGTATGAATACCCATAATTAAATCTACATTAGAATTGAATAGCAAATCAAATTCTCTTCTTCATACATAGAACTGAAAAAATATGTCTAGACAACAGGCTCTTTTTTCTAATGATAATGTGAGAAAAAAAGTAAGTCCTACTTCTGTATGATTCCCATCAGAATATTTTCATTCTTTTTATAGTGCATTTTATAAAGAAGACCTTTACAAATGTTAATCAATTAATTCTTCTTGAAGCTAATAGATAGTATTTTTAATTTCCCTGGGGACAAAATGCATCACAAGCTCCTGATCTTATTCAACACTCACACTCTTGCTTGACTGACAATGTAAAACAATCAAGTTCGAGCTAGAAGAAAATTATTTTCTATTTTTAAATCCTGATAAATGTTCTTGAGCATTCCCACGCATAACTTCAAGATAAAATAGCTAATGATTAAAGATGCAAGGAGAAAAAGTTTAGATGTTCTTCGTATTCATTATGACAAATATCAGAGAGTTTAGGGTGCCGAATGCTACCCAATTGTCTCTGCTTAGTCCCTCACAAACGATGCCAGCTTTTCCTTCAAGACCCAGGTCCCATTCTCCTTCCTTCCTCACTTCTCTCCTCAAAGACATGCACTTCTAAGTAGAGAACACCCCCCGGTATTGATGGACAATTATATTTCTTTTTAAAACCTTACTATGGCCTAAGGCTATATCTCAAAATGTAAAAAACATGAAACAAGAAATATTTTTTTGGAGAGGTTTTTGCTATAGGGCGCGAGTGCTCACCAGACAGACGGAGAGAGACAGAGAGACAGAAATCGAGAAATCACCCCCCAGGGGGGATGGCCACGCTGCAATCCCTTCTCTGTTCTCCTCTCGGGATCTTGGGCACGCACGCACACGCGCCTGGTGTTGAGTTTTAAGCCACCAGGTCCAGGACGTGAACCACGGTCGACTACATGGGAGTCTAGCAACATAGCCATTACACTAACTGCTGGTCCTGAGAAATATTTTTTAATGAGATAAAGAACTTGGTTTAAGAAGAAAGAAGAAGGGGAGCAGCACTGGACGTCCACATGGCCAACCACAGTTCGAACCCTGGGCCTACAGGTTCACTTTCTCACTTCTCTCTCTTTCTTTTTCTCTCTTTGGTGACCACGTGTGCCTTATTGCAAATTAAATAATAAAAATTAAATAATAAATAAATAAATAAAAATTAAAAGAAGAAACAAAAAAAATTAAAATCTTTCTACTTAGAAATATTATTTCTCAAACTAAATTCTAAGAAAAATTCTAAGAAAAATCTATTTTCCAGAATATAACATTACAGAGATCAATGAATAAATGAACTTCATATTATGACTAGAACGCACTCATTTCCTGAGTTTTTCAGCCATACGAAGAATACAATGATACTTCCCCCTTTCACTGTTGAGATAAACTTCTACTCTCTTTTTTAAAAAAATAACCACTATTGTTAAATAATTACTATTCCCATTAAATAAAACATCCTCCATAAAGTGGGCACTCAAGTCATATTTTATCTACCAAGTATTCATAGTCCGATGAGACAAGCAGCACAAGTCATTATAATAAAAATGCTTGAGGAGATTTTAACACAAAGTTCTATGGGAATAGAGAAGTGATTACTTCTGTCTGAGATCTAGAGGCTCCTATGCTGTCAGAGCCTTCAGAGTCCTTCCCATCTGGTGGCCATGCAGTGTCTTGCTCTGTGTCAGCCGGCTCAGGGCAGCTGCATTTAGAATGCGTCCTCTGTGTGCGAGCCCAGCTCTACTCTGAACCTACTGCACAGTGACTTCTTCTTAGTGAATTATTTCAGCTGGAACTCACAAAAAATCAGAAGTACAAATTATGAGATGCTAAAATCGGCACCAGTCTAATTTCTCCAAGTCGTCTTCAGAGACTAGCACTTCCGGTAACTGTCGGGAAACAGCACTGCAAGAATATATTCACGTCATGGTCAAGGCTTTCTGAGCAAGACGTGGCTGGCAACTGGGATAAAGGATGTCTGAGGAAATTAAAGATAGAGACCTCCAGAGAGACTTAGAAGTTCTCCCCTGGAGCCATCTGCTTACATTCTCAGGGTAGTAAACCTAAAAACCTTCTCCCTAGGCAGAATTTATTTACTGTAGAAAGTGAAGGTCTTTCTCCCCCAGGGGTAGGGTGCGCAGTTGCTCAGCTGCTCCTTTTAAGTTCCGAGACAAGGGATTTCTGAGATCCTCTCCTGTGGCACAACCCCCTGTAACCCAGAGTACATCTGATTGTTGTCACGTCTCCCTGCCGGCGACTGTGGCATGGGGACGGATGCCGTGACTGCTATGTAAGTAAATAATTGATCTGTTCTCTGATCCAGAAAGCTCATTTCCTGTTAGGGATAAATAGAGCTATAAATATAGATTAATTATTTTATTTTATTCTTTTAAGTTTTGCTTCTTAAAATTTTCTCTTGTCGTTCACATATACATTTTCTTAGGCTTTTAAATAGTCATCATTTTATGAATTAATTAAAATTATTTTTACAAATGTGATGTTCTTTGAAATTGTAGAAAATAATCCTTCAGTCGTTAAATATATTTTCCACAGCTCTTATTAGAAATGTAAACCTTTAGACCAGCAGATGGCGCAGCAGTACGTGGCTGGACTCCTACATGGGCAACTGCAGTTTGAGTACCAAGACCGGTAATTTGAAACTCAGGCCGAGTATGTGTGCCTAGGTTCCCAAGATCCTGGGAGGAGAATAGAGGAGAAGAGATTGTGGTGTGGTCATCCCCTTGGGGGCTGATTTTTTCACTTATTCTTTCACCGTCTCTGTCTCTTTCTCTCTCCTGTAAGCACATGTGTCCTAAGGCAAAAACCTCTTAAAAAGAAAAAAAAAAAAAAGAAAGAAAAAGAAAAAGAAATTAAAGCCTTAATTTGAATCTGTAAAATTTTCTTTGACTTGTTTGTCTAAAAATTACTTTTAAAAATTTATATTCATTTTGCAGCTTTGCACATTTGCCTTCAACATTTTGCGCTGCCTCTGATCAGTATCTTCTGCAAGCTCCTCCATTGCACCTGCCCCATAAATGTTGAGTTTGTTTCTCAAATTCTTCTCTTCACATGCTATCCACTCTCTTTGGATGTTTTCCATGATTTAACTGTCAACAATGACTCTCAACTCTCTAAGAGACACAGAGAGTGAGAGACAAAGAGAGAAAGCACTGCCCCTTCCCCCCCACCCCCAGCAGTGAGGGGATGACCATGCCTCAGTCCCTTTTTCTCTATTCTTCTCTTGGGATTTTAGGCAAGCATGCACACACGCCTGGGGTGTTTTTCAAGCCCTCCTGCCTAGGATTTGAACTGTGCCGTTGGCACGTGGGATCTAGACACCCTAACCTCCATGCTGTCTGCTGGCTCCAGTCTATTATTTTTCATTCTATTGTCTAGTTGACTTTTCTTTTTGGATACCTCATAGTAGTTTCAAACACACAGACGGAGAATGAAACTCATCACCCTTTTATTTTCAAACTTTTCTCTTTTTGCCTATTTTGTAACTGGTCTCCCTGCCTTGAAATTTATCTCCTCCATTATCTATTTTCCCCGGGGATGATCTTTGAAAGGAGCCAAGCAGACCATGTCACCTATTGCCTAATGTTCTTCAGTGACTGCATTGTCTTCAAGATGACATTTTTATTTCCCAACAGGTTGCATGAAGCCTCTGGAATCTGCGTTCTGACTTCCTTTTAAGGCCGACCTACCCGTTAGGTGCCTAATGCTTGGCTCAAGTCTTCAGTACTGATCATTTGCCAAATTAGCTACTCATTCTTACCAAAATGTCTTCCCATAAATATAGGGCTCTTTTTCTGGAGTGAATTTAATTTAGAATTATTTTGATTCTTCTAGTTGTTATTCATTCACCAAATATATGCTGACGGCCTGCCCACGTCTAGCATTATCTTCAGGGTTCACTGTAGTGATTAAGGGAAGGTACAGTCCAAGGCATACGGGCTTACAATATAGTGGAGACAGACATTATCAAGTATTGCTAACCCTGCTTGTGAGAAATACTCCGTGACTGCACATCAGTAGACAACAGGGTCCTAC